CCGCATTGACACAATGGGCCTACAAAACAAGTAACTGCTGCTCCACACACTGCACCAGCCCTCCTGCCGCCTCTTTCGCCCACAACTTTACAACCTGCACCACCTTCAATAGCCCAGCGCCAATTGTTCGATTAGAAATTCCGTTAGCCGTCAGACAACGCCGACGGTAGACCTTCCTGATGCATGTTACTTAAACTTGAACCAACCCGAACTGGCTCCCAGCCAGCAGCTCCACGGAACCCGATCACATGCAGAAAAACTCCAGGCGAGCTGTTGGTGCCCTCAGACTCAATCACCTAAGAGATTAGTGGCAAGCTAAGCTAGTGAGCCTCGTAAAAGAAGCACCCAAGTCTGAAACGTCCTTCTACAATATTCCCATCCAATACCTATATTTCTACATAAGCTATGGTATGCTTAAAAGGGGCTGCTTCTGTGGAATTTATTTCCTAAAATTTTAACTATTGCCAATCATTTTTTATAGTATACGACTTGATGAATTAAGCGGTGTGCCAAATAAAATAATATGATCAGTCCACTGAAGAAATTGGACAGAAATTTCCAAAATTTATTTCAGCCAAAACTTAAGCAACGCATTATATATTTCTATCAGATAATTTATTGATACAAAGAACAATTTTGGATATTTGATCAATTGTTAAACTAGCTTTAATGTGATTTTAAAAAGCTCAGGTGTTGTCTAATTGCAATTCTTTTTGCCTGGCACACGAAGGTATATATTTGTGTTGTTACCTGGGAATCGTTTAAAATTTAAGTGCCATATAAATGTTGTGAAAATTTCGAAAAACAGTAGTATAAATTAAATTGGCGCAGCTCTTAGACAGCCAATGGGTTAACATGGCCTTAACCACTTGAACTTTTGCGGTGAGCGCAAGCAATCAAATCAACTGTGAACTACTTAAAATCAGACACTAAACCAACTAAAACCAAAGAATCAAATTGGTTAGCCACTACCTCAGTTGCCTATTCGGACGACGGTTCCAACTGCAGGGCTAATGAACCAATTACTTGTTGAGGCCATAAAACAGACAGCAATGCGAGCATTCTAAGTGCTCTGCTACGTTGGCGATGGTAAGCTTTTTGGGGCCCAGCGCACTAGAATTCCCACCAAATCACCCGGTAGAGGTAACAAACTATATGCATGAAGCGAACTGTGACTGGGACTGAGACTGAGAAGCACAGACAAACGAATCATGGCTGACCTCTATCTTTGGACAAAAGCCAACTAAAACGAAACCGAAATGCAGCTAAGAGGCTCAACTAGACCGACATTAAAGTGCCGAGGACAAGGCAAAGACACTGGGCGCAGGAGGTGCTGAAACAGAGGAGGAGGTAGAAGGCCTCAAGGCAACCGCAACCACCGCAAGATCGATCCGAAGCACGAAAAATGTGCGCCTCCACAAAGATATTGCGACTGTCATAAAACAATATTATTGGCATTATTACATTTAAGTGTTGACAGCATAATAAAATAATTGTCGACAGACAATTTACAACAACAACAACAAAAACAACTGGTGAAACTCAAGTCTCGATCGTCTTTGGCATCGTTCTGCATTTTGTTGGGTTACGGGTAGGTGGGGGGGATTCACGGTAGATATCGTTGTCGTTTCCCATGTAAAACACTTTTAAAAATCACACTCACAACTCAAACCGAATGCAAAGTGCAACAAGTCATCAGGACTCTCAGTTGGTAAATGTACAGATCTTTCATGAGGTCTTTGACTAGATAACTCTCTGGACTGCAGTCCGGTTGAAGATCAAAAGAATTGTGCGGCGCTTAACGCGCCGAGCAGTGCAACAGAGAGAACGAGAGAGAGAGAGAGAGAGGGTTGCCTAGATGCCGCTCATTCATATAATTCACCCTCATTTCATAATAAATTGCTCTCAATTGATCACGACAATCGACAGCGATGAAAAGTCATGCCAAAGTTGACTCTGGATCGGTAGAAACCGGCGAAACATACGACGAAACGAAAACGAAACACGGCGCATAGCTAAATTGGCAATGGCAAAAGGTGCGACGGCATCGGCATCGATACCCATCGCCCGCTCCGATCCGATAGTTGGCGGCGTTAAGTTGTAGGTGCAAAAGGCTAAAACGAGAACCGCCGCCAACTGGACATTGTCCCAGCCCTCTCGGCACTCTTAAAGGCAAATAAGTCATACAAAAGCATTTTGGTCCGTCGACTGCATAGGAAATTGCTCCAATATTTTTGTCGACGCCGCCTGATTGGAAATATCGCAAGACCCGCAACACCACACAATCCGCACACACCGCTGCCCATAAGCTGGCTGCTTATTTGCTGCCCGCAGGAAACGCTGCCTGCTCAAATCGCCAACCATCTACGCCAACAGTGTGGCAGTTGGCCACAGTGTGGATTGATGATGAATTATGTAGAGCACGAAATACGAAGTGCATTGTGGTGGTGCCGGTGCTGGTGGTGGTGGAGCCGCGTGGTGCTGAATGGCATCAAAATGGTGTGGGAGTTGTGCTGATTTGGCAGCACAGCTCACGAAGTCGTTAAGGAATTTTAATGAAAAAACAGCAACAACAAAATTAAAACAATTGTGAAAAATGTAAAAAGGAAATTTTGCACTACATGAAATATGCTCAAAAATAAACTGAACACAACAACATTATTAAATATTGAAGCTATAAATGATGGGAGATTTTAGAAAAATAATATCTAAAATTAAACTGATATCCTAAAAATAAAATAAATATGAATACGCCTCCCAAATTATAAAATGTGTCTAGAGAGCAATATTTATTCAGCTACAGAGTTCGCAGCTATTTTCCCTTTCGCCCGTTTTATTGCCCATCTTTTGAACCTCTTCTACACAAAGTACAAATTTTTGAATCAATTAAATAGTCTGGCAATCCTAACGGACTGTACTGCTGATCCATGTAGCGTTGCCACAGCATGCAAAAAATTACTGCCATGAGGCTTATTACTTATCCTCACTTTAGCTGCCATTAACTCCTTCACGTGGAATTGTGAATTGATTTTATAAATTCTTTTGAAAAATGCAAATCGCAACATGCTTTTCCGTATTAATTAGATATTGAGTTATTTTCGCCATAGCTGCATATTTTATAAAAGCTGTGATAATTGCTCGATAATTGTCGCAGCCATATCCATAACAATACTTTAAAAAAATGCTGCTAAATGCTGTGCAGAAATCTATTTACATATTCCCAAGAAGCGGAAAAGAGAAGCTGGCAATCAGGAGGCGTTGTTCATGCTGCGTAGACAAATCTGTGATCATTTGTGGCCAAGAAACGAGAATTGCAGTGGTGCTGAGTATGGAACTATGCCAAAGACGGACCCGTTACCAGTTCTTGTGCTGTGTGGCTTTGTTATTAGTGGTAATAACCGCGGGACATAGTCACAGGCAACGGCGTCACCACGCACTACCAGCAGCCAGTTGGCCAAAGAGTTTGGGCCAAGATGCCACGCTGAACCCACATGCACTTTGCGGTAAATGAAGTCTCTGCCGCATCACTGGCACCAAATTGTGTTATCAAGTCATGGGAATTGCCCTGCATGCCTAGAGAACCATACGGGCCATGGAAATTGTGCAAAAAAATAAAACAACAAAAAAATGTGTACAGGTAGCCGCTATGTGAGAGACCCAATGAAAAACTCGTTAGAGTGGGCCACTGCGTGTGAGTGAGGAGCCGAAAATAAAAAAAAAAAAAAAAAACTTCAAGTCCCAACTGTGATCCAAGACGCCGTGTGTCCAGTGTGCAACACTCAGCTTGCTGCATTATTTCACCAAATCATTTCATGCCACATTAATCCACTTTACCATCATCATCATCTACGTCGTCGTTGTTGTCGTCCCCGCTTGGACATCAGCAAGCAGCCAGCACACGATCCGAAGCTCCGAAAACTGCAATGTCTGGGAAATTTCTGACGCCGATGACGATGACGACGTCGACGTGTGCCTAGAGGGTGTCAATTGATGCATATGAAAAATTGCAATTCCTATGCGCCGTTTTTGGGGTGCTGTGTATCAGCTTGTCTGTCTTTATCCCCTTACAACAAGGTATTACAGTTTTGATACAACATATGTAACATATTGAGCTGAAACGTTTTCAATCCGTAAATCAAATTTCTACTTTACCATTAACCGACCCTTAAACCTCAAAATATGACTGAAGAGCAGCCGAAGCTAAGTCTAAAAAAAACTATATCTTATCATAAGTTGATTTGCTTTCAACTATTCTTTGAATTTGTATGAAATCTGATCAAATTTAAGTAGAGAGCTGAGTTATTTAAATAATAATAAATAAAAGCCCAAGGATAACTTCACTCTCTTAACTTTGCTCAGGTTATGCTTTATCATTTATCTTGGATCTGTTAGGGTATTCAGTGCTCGTCGTTGCAAAGGTTATTTCTTTATCTTATGTTGCTTTTCAGCTGGCATGTGTTGGCATAGTGCATTCGAGCTATGAGTGTTGGGTACTGAGCTCAATTTACTATTAGCGTGACTTTTGGGTTAGTTTTTCTATTCGTCATGCAAAGCATCGCTTATTGGCGGCATTTGCAACTTCTCTCTCGAGGCCAAATGGCGTCGTCAGTCTTAAGTGTCTTATTGCAGCAAGTGATCTTCTATAAACTATAAACTACAACAACCCGAAACCCAATTTACATCCAGACTGAGAGCTCTATAATTTTGTTGCTCGATATTCGGCAGTAGATGGGAACTGGCACAAGAATCGCCGACCAAGAAAAGTAAACACGAAAACAGCAAATACATCATTAAGTTGGGCTTTGGGTAAAAATCATATAAGATTTTATGGTGCATATAAATGTGAACAACTACATAAATAAAACTGATGGTCGAGATGAGAGCTGAGTTAGAAAAAGTAAAAACCTTAAAGATACACCCTAGCCCTGTATATCCTTGAAAGATATTATAATTTATACCAAAATGTAAATTTAAATTTAAATTTCAAAATTAGTACTTACCAAACAATACAGGATACACACACATGATTCTTTTATGTCCATAAATTAGAAGTTATACAAAGCCAAACACATCTGTGAAAGAACAAAAAGTAGAATGAGAATTAGAGTAAATGCAGCAGAAAGAAAGAAGGAAGCATGAAGAAGCATGTCTAAGAAAACTTGATTAAATACTACCCAAAATCGAAGCCCAGAAAGTCTTATTAAATTTCTTGAGAATCGCATAGCTGAGCGAACGAAAAAAGCAAGTTGTTTTTTTTTTTTAAACATACATATGTATGCATTCATTTGTACCCATGGGAAATATGAACTTAAAGAACAGTCAACATTTTCAATCAGATCAATCTCAGCCAGCAAACACATCGATCCTGGAGAAGCAAAATATTGTATAGGACTATAAGTTGTGGTTGGCTGCCTTTCAGATGACGATGACGGCGATGATGATGAATGTAGAACAACGTACATAAAACATAAAACTGATTGATCGTTACAAGCTTTTATTAAGTCATAGACGTTCGCTCGCTGGTTCGTTGGTTCGCTGGATCGTTTGTTTCCTTTTTCGCTGCATCTGTTGATCATATGTAATTTATTTGTCATATCACGTGTTAAACATTTAACAACTCATGGGCTAGGCACAGGCAGCATAACCGGAGGCGAACAAGTGCAGTCAAACGAGTCGTTGCAGAAATCGAATGAAAAACAAAAAAAAAGTATTTGCACAAAGATCAATCTTGTTGTTTCGCTAGAGCAGTAAGAAACCCCAAGCAATAAGTCAAAACAATGGCCTGTCGCCAATGTCGCCGTCGCCGTCGTCGTCGTCATCGTCGTCGTCGTCGCGGTCGCGGTCGTCGTCGTTGTCGTCTCCGGGGCTAGAGATGGAGCTGCAGCCCATGGCCCCTTGAGTGGCCAGCGTGGTAGTCACTCAGCTTGAAGATTAGCCTTTGGTGAGCATGCTAAACGAGCTGAATGAGTCGGGAATGAGACAGTAATAGGCTTCTCAGTTGAGATACTGACACAAGCTGTGGGCTGCGTGGGTGAATCGTGGTAACAGAAGACGACACTGATTGTGAACGAGAAGAGTTACAAAGATGCTTAAAGGTAGATATGCGATTCTAATAGAAGAAGTGTGCTAGAAAGTGAGAGAACGACCATAATGAACCCACCCAGATTTTCTGACGGATATATCCATTTATAATTAACCCTAAATAGATTTAGAGTGAAACCTCTGGTTTGGAATTAACAGAAAGTTATCAGAGCTTTGTTTTCCTTTTAATTTGAATAAAACACTCAAGATCGATCAGATAAAATTCATCTATTCACATCTTTCACACACGTTAGTTTCATGTTCTAGTTAACCTGGTGCATATGCTTCCATTGAGGTAAGAGTTAGTTATTATTAAAACTCGGGATTCTTTTTTTTTGGTAATGAAACGTTTCTATGAGCTAAACATATATTCCCTTCAGCTAATCAATTCGTATGCTGTAAAGGTGTTTTATTGTTGCAACAAGAACCGTTTGACTAGATAAAAATCCTCAAACAGATAAAAGCACCACCGGGAAAGCCAAGTGTAATTACATGCCAGGGGGACAGACAGCAGGCAGGAGTTAACCAACGATGTGGCAGCTGTACAGCTTCTGGGACCTGCTCCGGTTTGGTCATTCACACGTCTTGTTAGCGCGTCTTAATAAATTGCACGCAATCAACTGGCGAGCTGAGCTCCATTTAAGTGAGGCCGAGCGAGTAAATCTTGGCGAGAGCCACAGCGAGCGGATCACAGCATGTGGTGGTGTTGGTGGTGGTGGCCAGCGAAGACGACTTTTACTTACAGCAACGCGGACTGAAGACGGACTACCTAACAGCCACCACCAGCCGGTAGGTAATTGATTGCGCTTCAATTGCAATTACCGGACCAAGGTGGACCATGGCGAACCAGGCACACCAGGCACAACAGGCACACCACCAGGCCGATTGGGGCGCCTCAGAGCTTGTAATTGTGTCGTAATAATGCGATCTTCAGGCGGCAGTTGAGTACGTTGCATGTTGGCGACACATTTAGCCCACATGCTGGCGCCACCTATGAGCCGCATTTGTTTTTATTTCTCTTAAGCTAATCTCAATTGGTGATGTTCCCACGCAGCCCACCAGCAGCAGCAGCAGCATCACCAGCAGCAGCAGCAGCATCAGCAGTTTTAGCTCTCGGTTTCAGTTACAGACTGCAACACCTCAACTTTTAGCTAAATTAAACTTCTTTATTTCAATTAAATGTCTGTCCAACTGTCCGTCTATCCATCTAACTGTCTGTCTGGGCTCAGTCGCTCCGTTTGTCATCGCCGTGCCCATATGTGTGGCAAGGCACACGACGCTTGCCACAAACCAAAACAAATCAAATGGAAACGGGGCAACGGGAATGGGAATGGGAACAACCCGAGCAACCAAGCTGCCTTCAACTCTAGCAATTGTTGTTGTTACTGTTGTTGTTGTTGACTCTGGGCTTGGGCTATGAATTGGTCTCAGTCTCAGTATATGTTGCTTTTGTTGTCGGTTTTGGCTGCTTGTAACCTCACCTTTAACATCCCACATGCGTCGCCAGTTTGCCAGACTTGTTACTTATTCTATTTTTTTTTCCTTCAAGCTCTTTATAATACTCTACACAATTTATTTAATGAGAATAATGGAGCACATTGGTTTTAGACCAAAATATAAAGCTAAAATAATACTTCTTAAATACAAATAAAGGACTCTTCAAGTATGCATATATTCGCTTTGTCTCCGCGAATCGTACATCACTTACGCAAGATAATGTATATCTTATTATCTAGTAATTTATAATTAACTTCCATTTTCTCTTTGGCAGTGCAGTTGCTAGTCTACTTGAAATTTGCATAAAGCCTGCTCCTATTGCTGCTTCCTTATACAACAATTCTCATTGGTTTTTTTTTGTAAAAGAGCAATGGGCAATGTGCAACACGTCATCGTTGATGCAGTAATCGCCATGGGCAAGTCAGTTAGTCCAATTGTCAATTAAGTCAATGCAAATGTTATATAAATAAAGTATTATATAATTTGAAAATTTATCGCATTTAAAGTTTTTTTCTTGCCAGCATATCAGAGTGCAAAATTTGATGATGATTATGTCTCAACTTTTCAGTTTTCGAGTCTGTGGGCGAATCGTGGGCAGTTCATTCAATCCGAAGTGGAGCTACTGTTGCTGATGAGGTGTATGTGTGTGTGTGTGTGTGTGTTAGTCGGTGTGTGCCAGCTAGGCTTTAATTAGCTGGCCAAACCTTGAGCTCAATCTTTGTATGCAATAAAAAAGTGCAACATTTTGTCTATGGCTGGGTGGCCAACAACGCACACACACAAGCCAAACGAGAAGAATTGCAAAGTCTAACAGGAAGTTTGCCACACGCAATCAGCAATGGAGTCAAGTCAAAAGACGAAGACTTCACACTAGGCCGGGTCCCAGGTCGCGGATCTCCTGGTCTCAAGTCTCTCTCTCTCCGTATGCCCGGGCCACATTCCAGCTCGAACTAGACAAATATTGATGGCCGCTCATCAATAGCCATAGCAGCAGCCGCCGCCGCCGCTGCTGTAACACCACAAGCAGCAGCAACAACAACAAGAACAACAACAACAACTGCAGCGAAAAATCAAACGCAGCAGAAAGAAAATTTGCAGTGCGATTGATTTATTTACCACGGCTTAGATTTACCGCCTTGCAGTCGAGTGGCATTTTGGCATTGTGCTGATGATGCTTTCCCACTTTTGAAGCCATACGATGCCCCCACTCCCTACTGCTTCGGCGTAGCCAGCTCCAATCCCTAAACATCAGTCGCATCATCAACAGGCGGCACCAGCGGCGCAGTCAGCTTTAAATGTTGCGTTTGATTTCGCTGGGCCAACTGTTATTTTTTTTCTTTCTTCTTCTTGAGTTGTTTTTGGAATTTCTGCCTGCTGTCCAAGTGCATCGTTACACAAAACCACAAACAATTTATATTCCCATCAAACATTTGACCGCAACGCTGATTCATCTTAATCAATTATAATCTTTTGGATCGAGTTTTTCCGCAGTAATGAGCGAAAAACTTATGCAGTCGCAAGAGGTCGCCACTCGGGGGCACCGCTGCGTGTAGCGAGATTTGCGCCACAGGCGTTGCACAGATAAGAGACAACCAGACTCCACCACTCCTCCTAACAGACCCATCCGCCAGCCAAGCGCAATTGCAATGCCAAACGAGATGATTGCATGCCGGACACAATGCGTTTCACAGCACTGAGGCAAAAGCCAAAGACGGCTTAGACCCAAATAACTCGGATCTATTGCAAAGAATGGGTATAATAAAAGCATGATACGATCTATTGACCAGCCGGTTTCAAGGTATTACCAAGCATTTGCGTAAGAAAATTGATACAAATTAGAAAAACAAATTAGTTATAAGCATTATCTTACAGAGATTAAAAGCTACTCAATAACTTGTTGCGGTCAAAAAACTAGAAAAAAAGGAAAAGCCATAAAAAATGTACTTTGCAAGCTTATGTCGATCTTTGTTCTAGGATATTAGTGAAAATATTACTACCCCCTGACTGGACTGGAAATGTTGATATGTAAAGCTGATTTATTTCACTCTAAAAAACCCTTAAAAGGCGGATCTGCGATGCCAATATCTGAATGTTTACCCAAGCATTTTAGGATTACTTCGAATATGATGAACTTTCAATCAACACTTTCCCATACATATGCGACACAAATACGACCTATTTATTAGATTTACAAAATATTTGAAACTCAAATCGAAGATTGGCTCAAATAGATATATATAGATATATATTTATATTCAATTGCAGCATGCCATATTCCAACCTTGACTTACACGATACAAGATAACATCCACATTAATTACACAACAATTGTTTGCACCCCATTCAATCAGAAGGTAGAGGGGAAGTGATTAGAGCTGTCAAAGCTCACACTGCTTTCGACATGCTCAATTTTCAATTAGAATTTGTGGTTGTTACATGCGCCGCAATTGTTTAATTTACAAATCATGTGAACCAATTAAACACAGGCAAAGCG